CTTGGCCCACTATTTTTTCTGTTTTACATTAATGACTTACCTTCAATAAGCAATAGGAAAAATAAAACAGTACTTTTTGCAGATGACACAAGTATTATAATAACTGACATAAATAAATTAGAACTTGAAATTAATCTCAAACAAACTTTAAAAGATATTGACACATGGTTTAATGCTAATTTACTTGCTTTAAATTTTAAAAAATCTCAATATATTGAATTTCGTTCCAAGAATTGTTATAATATTACCCCAATGACCATAGATGATGAAATAAAATTACCAAAGGTGAAAGAAACTAAATTTCTAGGACTAATTATTGATGATACCATCACATGGAAACAGCATATTAACTATGTTATCAATAAAATTGCAAGGTCATGTTATGCGTTGAGAAACATAAAGCATTTTATCCCATTAGATACATTAAAGGTAATTTATTTTGCACACATTCACTCCATTTTAAGCTATGGCATAATTTTCTGGGGTAACGCTTCCTATGCCTGCAATGTCTTTAGACTACAAAAGAAGGCTATGAGAATTATTGCAAATTTTGGTCCAAGAGAATCATGTAGACATCTATTTGAGAAATTCGAAATACTGTCATTCTATTCCCAATTCATATACTCATTGATTTTATTCACGATTAATAATGATCATCTTTTTAATGCTATTACCATGATTCATGAACATAAAACCCGAACCCATAATAATCTATATTTGCCTTCTGTGAACCTGACAAAGTATAGTCAGAGTGCATATGTGGCGGGTATTAAAGCCTTCAACCATTTACCTCAAACTTTAAAAGAGTTGACTTTGGATGTACCAAATTTTAAGAGAGCACTAAAGAGATTTTTACTTCATCACTCCTTTTATTCCATGAAAGAATACTACCAACAGAAATGGGTATAATGTGTAATGTAAGAGAACACACAGATTGTGACAACAAATGAACTGATATAGAAATATGTCATAAACTACAAATTATGTAATTATCCTGTTTTATTTGTCTCTTTTTTATTGATTGTCTCTTTTATATGCATTTTAATTTGACGCACTTGATTAATGGAATGAGTAATGAATGAATGTCTTAATGGAAATTTTATTTTATTTTAGTCCATTATAAATCTTGATAAATTTCTTGATCATTGTTTAATGTGTATTATAAGTATTATAAGTTTACCTCATTTAATTGCAATATTACTGTATTATTGTATAGCTACTATGTATTCTAACTTGACTTGTTCCATATCCTATGGTGTCTCACCTGTACTGGATTTACGGAATGTAAATAAATTCAATTCAATTCAATTCAGAGAAATATAAATATATACTGTACATCTGTACAATAAAACTGAACATTGGCTCAAGTGGCAATGCTTGTGTGAGATGCATTCAAATTCCAGCCATGACACGGTATCTGGACTGAGGTTTTTCATGGATTTCATCCATTTTGAAAGGCAAATGGTCAGAGATAATACTTTAAATTAGGCCATGAGTGCATCCTTCTTGATCTCTTTCCATTCATTATTCAGTCATCAAATCATTCTGTGTTACTGGCAGTGCTTTCTTTAAGTTGGTTATTAATGATGTTGTCAGTATTAAGACTATACAGTGTCCTTTAAAGCTGAGTGGTTCTATATGTACCACCTGCTTTAACATATTAAAACTCTGCATTCTGCTCACAAAGTGTATTTGTGTGTTTTGTATGGTGCTAACAACAAACAGCGATTGTTTCTCTAAACACCATTAACTGGCTGATCTTTTCAGTGGAGATGTCATGTGTTTTGTGTCAGGTACAAACTTAATTTTTACATAGAGAGTCTTTCTTGAAGAGCCAAATCACCTGACTCCCTCATTGTCAGCCAATTAGCCAGAACATGTTCAAAGAAAGAATTCCGGATTCATAAATTGTCATCATCACAGTAGGTGCTCAAAATGTCTCCCTTCTGCTCATAATCTTCAAGTCTGTCATCCAGTGTTTGGGAATTATTTGAGTACACTTTGTTTTTATGTTTTCCCGCAAATGAACATAATGCAGAGACCCTGCAATCAAGTCTTTGATATACTGGTCTGACATCAAACACCTTGTTTAAGACATTAATGGAATAATTAGCAATGTGCGCTGTAACACTGGCTTGCTTAAAATGACTGTCTTTTCTTCTGTAATGCTCTTAAGAAGGGCTGAAAAATGCCACTGACATAACTAACTCCATGGAGTGAATCCTTGAGAAGCCAATAGTTGCTAAGCTACTCAAGAATTTCCTAACATTTTTTGGAACCTGAAGGTTCATTACTGTGTTCACAAGAACCCTCCACTGGTCCCTATCCTGAGCCAGATGAATTCATTCCATACCACCCTATCTTATTTCTTTAAGATCCATCCTAGTATTATTCTCCACCTATGTCCAGGTCTTCATAGTGGTATCTTTCCTTCATGCTTTCCCACTAAAACACTATATGCATTCCTGCCCAATACATTCTAAATGCCCTGCCCATGTAATTCTCCTTATTACACAGTTAGCTCTCATACAGCTCTGAATTGTCTACTTACAAAATATGAGTCCTGCTATTTGTGCAGCAGTAGTAGCACACCACATACCAATTTTATGATTCTTCAGTGGTATTTAACCTCTCTCTCATATTTATACTGCTCCAGTACCTATTCTGATCACTGATATACCCACTCAGATGGAAGAAGGCTTCACACATAAAAATGTCATCATGTATTGCAGGCTAAAATCAATTAACACAAATGTGTTCTTCTTTCATAATCACCTTCTTCAGTTACTTGAAGTCAAGTTTATACAGCAGCAGATTCGGTCTCTATTCTGTTTTGTTGAAACTTGTGCCTCTTGAGTTAGTTATGTCAGGGATCTGTGAGGCCAGCATTCTAATCTGGCTCCAGTTTTGTCAAGTTTTCCCTTGTTCAGCACAGTCTGCTCTCTAGGGTATTTCTTGTATAAGAAAGGCCCAGTTGAACACATTTTCTTCAGTTCAAGATTCACTGCTAGCTAGAACCTGAACACCACAATACATACTTTCTTTAACACGATTTCTGTGATTTTTCACATAAATTTCATGTGGAAAACCATGGGGCTGAAGTGTATAATTCACCACTTCAATTTGATACTGTAAATGGAACATGAGACAGATCTCTGAATGTCTTATGAGAAAAGAAACACAAATGGAATTGAATTTTAGACATCTTCAGGAGAACATGTCTTAATGTTTCCTTGCTTGAGATTTGTCTCCTGAAGATATCTTCATTATTTTTTGCACATTTGAAACTTCTGAAGTTGTTATATATAATTCTGCAACTGACTGAAATTGTTAAGAGGGTAGAGTTCATTATTGATAGGATATCATACAAAATAATAAAGAGGTCGCTGGTGTGATATCATTGTTCTGAATGTTCATGCCCCAACAGAGGACAAAATTGATGATATAAGGGACAGGTTCTATGAAGAACTAGAACAAGTATTTGATAAATTCCCAAAGCACCATATGAAAATTTTATATAGGAGATCTCAATGCCAAAGTAGGTAGGGAAGCTTTTTTCAAACCAACAATTGGGAATGAGAGTTTGCACGAAATTAGTAATGATAATGGAGTTTGAGTAGTAAACTTTGCCACAGTGAAAAATCT